CACTTTATACGAAACCAAAACAATTCCGTTATCTTTCTTATTTTTCCTCATCGTTGCAATATCTTTCTCAAAAAAATAAACTCAATCCATGACAAGAAGTAAACTGCGAACTAAGTTTGCTTTCCTCCAGTTTCCGATCACAGATCCGAACTGGCTTTGAAAAAAAAAATTGCGAGCGACTGCAACCATCCAGCACTGCAGCTGCACTGCACCAAGCGTCCCGCAATTAATTGTTATACAATTATCAATATTCAAATTTCACTCTAAGAATGTAATCAAAAAGAACGTCCAATGCACTAGAAAGGACAGGGTATAAAATTGCATTCGCACTTTCGCGTCGACTGCTAAAAGTGCATACACACACACACAAACTCGATGCACATAATACGGTAAGAATCGGGTAAAATCAAAGCATTCTAAAAGAAGAGGAAGAAGTAGAAAGAAAAAAACGAGTGGGGACAATGTAATTGGATTCAAAATATATAAAGCTAATTACTGACGGCGTGTTAATTGCAGTGAAATGAAATGAAATCAGCTTAGAAATCCTCAAAACGCTCTTGTAAACCAAATGCTCAATCATAGGAAATAATTGTATATAAAAAAGATATGCGAGGAGAATAATGCGGGACTTCGATTAAATTTGTTACGCAACTTTCGATTTCATCATAAATAAATTATTTTGTTCCTGCTGCTCGCTCCGCGCGAGTGTGGAATTAATTGTATGTATGAGGACGACTTCCTTACTGGATGGAATTTATTAGCACGTTACCTTTTCCGCCTGGTGCCGGAGTCGAGCTTCCTCCACCGCATCCCTCCGTGCCGTCAAGCCCTTATCCCGGAGGGATGTCCTTCTCACAGATTGAGTCCTTGTGTTGCTGCTTTGGGACCGCCGCACCTTCGTCCTTTTATGCGCCTCGGCTTGCCTCTTCGTCTCCTGCTCGAGTTTCAGCTGCACGATGCGGTCCTTCAGTTCCGGATCCTCGCATATATCTTAAAAGAAAAGAAAAATACAAATAAATAGTACACTTTGTCCAGATGCAATCCTTCAGAAACTGATCCTCGTAAATATATTGAGGAAAAAAATAAATGGTAAGGACACTTCATACACGGATTAGAAGTTTTGAATGGTGTTGGGAACGGTAATCTCTTTGCATTTGGATTTTCGCAAATTTACGTTGCATCCCGTGATGCGTCCCTTAAAGCTTTCGACTAATGCGAGATTTGTGTTGAATTTAAATCCCGTGTGCATTTAATAATTTATTCATACAGAATCCACCGACCGAACGTAACATTACTACTATTCGCCCTTAATTATGTCGAAACGAGAAGTTCGCAACATTTCATTCAAATGTAAATATCGCACTTTATTTATATGCATGTAGTGAGTCATATATTTCTTAGAAGCATAACAATATGTACTATAAAATCCTAGTTTTGTACATATTTTGAAATGATTTTTTCATTAATGCTTAAAACATTCAAGAATCAGTGGAAATGCACAGACTTACAATATAGTGGTCCTATCTGTAATAGTCTTCTTAATAGTATTTATAAAGTAATATTATGTTACTCTTTAAGACTTATTTATAAATAAAAGAAAACTTAGAGAAAAATATAAAAAACGGATATTCCTATTCAATGATTCATACTTAAATATTATGGACATTACAATACCTAAAAGTTAGTGAGAATGATGAAAGTAATAATAAAAATGTAGCCACTCGTATATTTTTGAAAAAATTGGATTGGTGTTTGAAATATGTATGCTTTCTGTAAAAAAAGTACTAGAATTTATTCAGCTTAATGAGTGAGAAACGAGAGTCGGACATATTTAGATGATGATTAAACAAGTTTTATATGTGTATTAACGGACCTAAAACTTATATATATTTGCTACATTCTCATTTATATACAAAAAAAGAAATGCTGCTATAATAATGATGTAATATACTTTAATTATTTATATAATAGAAAACATATTTATTAGGTTTACGAGTAGAAATATTTTCACTTTAAGAAAAAATAATTAAGAAACAAACAAATTAAGCTTTTGATTGTGAAAATGACAGAAGATAATGAATTTAGTCATTACTTTTACAAAAGTTTTTACTTTACAAAAATATATAAATAAAGCTATAACTGTCTGTAAATATCATAGATTATTGATACGAATAAATAACGATTATATTAAGCAAACTGCGCATCATAAATATAAATAACAGATACAAAGATAGAGTAGAATTAGTAATAAATAAACAGGTTATTAAGTTTGTTAAATATCTGAAATATTCTTACTTATTAACATCTAACGGTAGAGTTTAATATACTAATATTTATTGAATGATGAAGAATATAAATATAAAAAGATGAGAATTCAATATTTTTTTTTTAGGACAACTTAAAAATATGTTTTACATGTCCTAGTTTTAATTAAAATAAATATCATGTGCAGTTTTGCGATCAATAAAAGTAAACATAATAACTAAAGCTGGAGGAGAGCCAGATCTGAACTCAGTCCTTGAACTCGGTATGTCTGTTGTAAAAACACAGAGGGTACAGAAGAGGAAAACAACGCAAGAAATATTCCAATTGTAACGTCCTGCAAGAACGGTGATCTTTTTTGTAGGTGAACAAAAATCCAAATATAAATAAGTATGGACTAACAATTTAACGGTTTAAGAAGAGTACGCGTTATGCAACGAGACAGTGATTTAACTTTACCTGCTGGCGTCTCCTCATGTTTGTTTATGGCGGTCAAATCGGCCCCGGACTGGACGAGCAATTCCAACACCTCTAACTGGAAAAGCAATCAATTTGATTTTAATTAACGTTATATACAATTACCGCTATATGCATGATTTTAATCGAAACATTATTCACGTCAATTTCACGCGACGCTCGAAATGCATGGGTACAAAAAATAAATGTAATGTAAATGAAATCAAATAAAACATGTTCGCTCGTTTTGTTTTTAAAACCATAATGAATGAACACGATGGATGGTTTTTTAGCGGAAGTGCTTCGATCAGAAACCACATGCATATAATAACGATATCGTAATTAATGCTATTATTTATTAATTATAATTAAAAAAAAGGAAATCAGGAAATATTGCAGTAATTCAATTACGGAATTCCATGAGGAAATTGAATCGATATACTTAAGATTGTAATGATAAACATTACAATCATTTTTGTTACGAGGTTTTATACCTAAATGATCACCAGAATTATTTCATCCTTGAATGTATTTCAATTTCACCATTTCGTGTCTGACAAAACGATATATGACAAAACTTTAAAGCGAGATGTTGACAGTTGTAACTGTCGCAAGTATTCTAAGTTCAAGAACATAAAATATTAATTTATAATGTAATTTTTTTATAAATTATATACAAAATATCAACAATGAAGTTGAAAGTTTCAATAGTAATAAAGTACATCAATACCTCGCATAGTCCGATTAATATTTAATTTTTATAAATTATATACGAATGTTTAAGTCGCCCTACCCACAGTTTCTAGTGGGCGCCGGTTCGAATCCTGGTCAATCCAGGCCCTTTGTGAGCCCTCTTGGTGCTTGCAGCAATAGGGCCATCATTCATCATGAATGGACAGTCAAATTAAAGAGTCCAGCATATGGACCTTCATCCAAGTCGATGGAGAATGACAATGTTAAGGACAGTAGTAGATATACAGACAAAGAGAATAGTGGAATCGCAGAGCATCAGTATACTGAAGATAACCTATAAGAAGGCAGCCAAATTTCGATCATTTTTTGATCATTTTTTCCTTTATATAGTCAAGATTCTTTTTGTGAAGTTCATTTTTATGTAGTTTTCAAATTCATCAATTAGTCCAATTTTGAACAGTCATCAATATTCACTGAACCGATTACATGGACTATGTGATGTATTGCTATACAATTAGAATACTTATTAATGGAATTAATCATTTAATCATTTAATAATTTTGAATTAAGTAATTGAAAGTTTTATGTGGACACAGATTTTTAATAGTAATTCAAATATATTGTTATTTTGAATTCCCATATAAATACTTGTAAATATTTGAATATTAATTTAGAGGTTTGTCTATAAATTGGCTATCCACAACAAAGTTTAACATAAATACGTGTTTTTGCTCTGACAACTTATACGTGATGCACTTCGGTCTTCGAGAAACGTATTTGTTTTCGCCACGTAAATACAAGTGTTCTATCTTGATCTACTCGTACTTCCATGTCCATTACGTTGATAAATGATTGAAAAGTTTCTAAAACTTTTTTTCTTCTTCTGAAATACCACCGACCCGAAGATCGAAGACTTGCTGCATTCCCATGCGGTATTGAGTGAACTCCGTTGCATCAGAGATTAGCCAAAGTTAATCCTAATTGGATAAAATAGCGCAATACTTCATTACTTGTATGCAACAACTCACAAAAAAATTTGGACTTACTATCATTATTAATAATATATGGTTTTTATACTATATTTAACCAAACAAATAATATAATAACCACATTTTATTTTTGTATTGATTCAATAAAAAAAGTAAATTGTCTCGCAAGTCAATATTGAATGGTTTATGTATTTTCTATTAATAATCCAATATTCAAGAATACGTTTTCATTGGTAGTAATATAATATATTTTTAATGTTCATGATTGAATTCCATTTGTGATTTGCTGAAGGTTGCATTATTGCATTGGACTTAAAAGTTTTGGTAGACAAAGGCTAAGTTTCTACGTTTAACCTCAGCCTTAACAAAAAGGTGCATCCTCGTTATTTTGCATATCAATTTGATCAGAAATGAAATAGGAAAATCGAAGAACATTGTAGGAAAAGTATAAAACAATATGAGTACAGTTAATATAAAATTTCCACATAAAAATGGAATTATTCAATAAATAACATTGACATAAATTGTGAGATGAAGGCAAAGTAAATTGCAAGGATCAACTACAGCCTTAACTAAAAATAGAACTTACTTTGCATATCGATTTAATCAGAAACGAAACGAGATATTTAAAATAGATGAAAGTATGAAATAATAAGAGAAAAAAAATGTTTGAAATATTGCACAAAAGACGTGTAAATTCTTTGATAAATCACTGCAAATATAAAATAAGGAAACGAAGGTTATATAATTGCAACTACGACTTTAATTAAAGAGTGTGTCCTCGTTACTTTGCATATCGTTTAGATCAGAACGGAAACGGGAAAATTGAAATACATGAAAGCAAAAATATGACATTATTTATATAAAAAGTTAATTCTTTGATCAATCGCACTCAATATAAATTGGGAGATGAAAGAAAAGTAAATTAGAAGAAACAAATACAGCTTTAATTAAAAAAGTTCTCATTATTTCGCATATAAATGAAATAAGATAAATACATCACAGGAAATATATGAAATAAAACAAACATAAATGTACTCATAACGTCTTTTTGATAAAAATTGACGTAACAAGAAAATGGTTGTAATAACAAACCAATGTACATGAAGATAGAACGAAAAATATTTAAATTGCAAGATTGAACTAAATCCTTAATAAAAGAAGGATGCATCCTCTTTATTTTAGCATATCCTTTTGATCAGAAACGAAACTGAAAATTGAAGCACGTGAACATACAAAATAATACGAAAACAATTTATATGAAAAAAAAACGTGGAAATACTTTGATAAATCGCGTCGAATATAAATGGGATAATTTGCGTGGGAGAATGAGATGGATATATTTGAATGTGAAATTTTTTACTCACATGACCCCAGCAGGCGGCCGCATGTGCAGGCCTCCAATCGTCCCGATCCTTGACATCAGTATTCACGTTATGGTCCAACAAAAATTCCACGACCGACGTATATCCATTAGCTGCAGCGATGTGAAGCTAGAAACAAAATAGGAAAAAAACAAACAGAAGGATAAGTAAAAAAAATAGTGCAAAATAAACAGCGAAATTAACTTCAGCATTAATATTAATCTTCATCCTCCCCCTTTTTAAAGCACTCCGTCCGTTAAGCCGAGCCGGAAAATGAAATAATTCCAGCAAAGTAAATTACTTAAAAATCTACTTAATTCATTAATTAAGTCCGAGTCCAAAAGGTATTTTAAAAGCGAAATAAACAAGAATTTGCTTTTGTTCAAGGAGAGTGTTTTCTTTTGTGCACGTAGATCCTAGACTTTCCATACACAAAGCTGTTTACGTTGCGCCGATTCGATTTACGTAGTTTTTTTTAAGTTGATTTATCGGCTGTGGCAAATGCAAAACCAACATTCCACCTTTATACACAGTATATACATGTCTTTGTGTATCTGTAATTTACTTAATCTCGCTTTCAAACGTTTACTGAAAGTGTAAATTCGAAAAGAACAGCGTTTTATTAACGTAAGCGAAATTCAATTTTAGATTCGTCTCACTAATAGCGTTGAACTTTATTCCAGTTAAATTTCTCTATAAGACATAATGTAAATTTTATTCATTAATTCCAGATCTTTAATAATGGCATCGATATAAAAAGAAATAAGTGCTTTAAGATATAACAATCATATTTTTTTATTTAAATATCAAATATTAATCATTATAATACATATTTTAATTAGATTTTTTTTTTATCTGAAATTCATTAGTTGTGAGTTAGGATTAATTAACATTACTACTACTTAATTTTTCTTATTTGGTTATTTTAGGGTATTTTTTATACGTCTAAGCAGAATCAGAATTATTCAAATATCAAACTAATCTGAATTTGTTATTTCAACAAAAAAATCAATTTTTTTCTGTTGGAATTTGATGGTGTATGAAATTTCACCGTATTTTAAACTCATGCACCATAATAGAATGCTATGATTTGACTATAAGGTAACAGCCTTCTCGTAACTTAGTGACCGTTGTTGTTTACCTCAAAATAGAAAGACATAAAGCAAACATGGACGTAAAAAAAAGGGGGACCATTAATTATCCCGAATGATTCACGGCCATTTGACGGCACGTAATAAACGGCCCAGGTGTATCTTTGGGGGAAGGGAAGGGAATGCGAAGACAAATTTGCTTTTAATTTTAATTAAGGTCTAGTGGTTGGAAGAAACGCCTTTTGTCACATAGAGTTGAGGTGTATCGACCGGAGGTTTACGCTCTCGTAAATCCGAAACAAATGCAGTTTCGTAACGAGCGTGTTTCGTCGGCCATTCGAAAGGCATTCCATTCCATGGCCGAAAATTTGGATAATAAAATTCTCGCGAATGGAGTCGAGCTGGAGAAAAAAAGGAAACGCGGATGCGATAAAATTGTATACAACCACAAGAGAGCAATATTGCATCCGGCCCATTCATTTTTCACACCGTCCGCTTCATATTATCTATATATATATACCAGATATGCTTCCTCCTGCTGTTTCTTCGTTCTCTATTTTTTTTTTCATTTCGTCCGTTTTTCTCTCCTGCTGCTTTTATCCTCCTGAGCCATGACCACTTTAAATTGCCTCTGTAGAATTTTGGAGTAGAGCCAAATAAGGGCGGAGGGCTCAAGTGGTTGTTTGAAATATCTTTGCAATTTATATTAATGAACGGGCCAATTTTTATATATGCATGCGCCAGAGACTTTTACGACAAGAATGCAAATGTTTATTAATGACTTTTTATTTTGTTACAATAAACGTTGCAAATGAACTATGACGAGATTATATGTCCCATAATCTCGTCATAGTTCATTTTCTCGGGTCTATATCGCAAGCCTGACAACCGAAAGACCGTCTATTGAAATTCCGACGTTCGAAATCTCGACTATATCAAAATCTCGACATCCATAATCCCGACTATATCGACACTTTTATTATTAATAACAATAAATTATTATTAATTTATTTGATTTTGTTGAATTATTCATAATAAACCTTAACATTATGAAATAATCTCAAATACAATTAGATTATTAATTGTTATTATTTATTATTAATAACAATTTAAAAGTCACTACGCTCAGGAATAATTTAAAAATATTATTGTAGACATTTTCGATATAGTCGGGATTTTGATACAGACGGGATTATCGTTGTCGGAATTTTAATATAGTCGGGATTTTGATATAATCGGGATTATGGTTGTCGGGATTTCGATACAGTCGTCATTTCAAACGTCGGGAATTAGATTGACGGTATTTCGGTTGTCGGGCTTGCGATTTTCGGGCTTGATAAATTCTGCAAGATTTATCAGTTAATATAATAACGGTAATTAACATAATACTAACTTTTATATATAAATATTAAAAGAATTTCTATTAATGTGCTACCATACTACATTTATTTTTATTTGTTTTATTTATATTTGTTTAACTGTTTCAATAAATATTATTAAAATAAACTAATATTTTCCAAAGATAATAATTTGTTTTTATTTGTGATTTATAGTTTGTAATCTTTATCATAGATATATTAAATATTTTCAGTTAAATAATCTGTTACTAATATTGAGTAATATTTTGTAAACAATTTATTACTCAATATTTAGTTCTAAGGTGCGTTTGAAAAAAAATATAAATTTCGCTCTAACAGTATTGATTCATGTTATCCAAATATTTGTTTCACATTCTCTAAATAATAAAATTTATTTAAGTTTTAATTTAAAAAAGTTATTTTGTCCCTTTTCGTAATTTAATTTAAAACTTGATTATTTTTCAATTACATTATTACAGATAATGAATGTGATTACTACAAACATTACATCACAAAAAGATGTTGGGAAACACAGAGAAACAAAACCTTGATTTTTTTTATGCAACACATGAGCAGTCATTAAATTTAGTGTCACTGTGAGACTCCCTTCATCACATTATAGCTGTCTTGATTAATACGTGTTATGTAATAGGTGTAATAAGTATGAGGCTGCACTCCCTGAGGAGTATATTCAGAGGCAACTTAAAAAAATTGCTTATCAAGGAAACGCTTCATCCGACAAATGAAAATTTTATAAAACCAGATATTATTTAGAAAAATATTATTAAATTATATTATTACAGATAATTAATGCAATATGAATACACAAAAACAGGTTGGGAAACACAGAGAAGCAGAGCCTTGAATTTTTTATGCAACACATGAGCAGTCATTAAATTTAGTGTCACTGTGAGACTCCCTTCATCACATTACAGTTGATTTATAGCCGTCTTGATTAATACGTGTTATGTAATAGGTGTAATAAGTATGAGGCTGCATTCCCCGAGGAGTATATTCAGACAACTTCAAAAAATTGGTTACCAAGGAAATACTTCCTCCTCCGACATATGAAAACTTATAAAACCAGATATTATTTAGAATTATGATATTCATATTTTGTTGAACTTTTACCAATAAATTATTATTATTTATTATTACTATTTTTCATTATTACTTCAATTAATATTTTTTGTAAATTTAATATTTGATTTAGTACTTAAATAACAAATAATAAATATGTTACAAAGGACTATTAATCTTTCGAATTTTGATAAATTTGTCTTGGATGAAAAATGATTTCATATTTAAAGAAAATTAGTTAAAAAAATATATATTTGCTAAAATTAAAAAAAATATACTTCAAAAATTCTACTAACAAAAAATGCAATTATTGATTAAGAATATTACAATATGTCTTTGATAGTTTCATACTTTCGCAACTGAAGTCAGTATGTAGAGTAAAATATAGAACTTAGAAAAAAGGTTTGGAAATATATTAATTAAGAATAACAATATTATTTAATTAAATTTACAAGAGTATTCTATTCTATTGTATGTATGCAATAAATTACATTTAATATAATTATTAAATTTATATTTTACTGTTGGACTAAAATTTCATTCAGTCGGTAAATGAATATAATGTTAATAATGTATAATAAAAAAATCGGACATGGAATGTAAATCCGTTTAAATCTGTTTGGCTATTAAAACCAGTAGCAATTAGTAATTGTAATAGATGCGTGTATATAAATTGTGTAAAGATCATATTAAAAATAAATTAAAAATATGTAATATTAACGATATTTATTATAATAATTATGTAATAACACAGATAATTACAAATAAAAAAAAATGAACATTAAGGCTATTGACCTCAAATATTTTCGCAGAATTTAAAATAATTTCAACAACAATTTTAGTACAATCAAAATTTTTGAACATGAAAGTATTTGGTGAGAATATAATGTTATTCGAAATATTTGAAAGTCACATTAGTTCGAGGATTACCAAACTATGTCGCACAAAGCTCTGCCGTTCCTCGGGGATTCCGCAATGGCTCTATAAGCTTAAACCAGATGAAATAGTTTAATATGTATAAATGCAGAGTATGCATGGATAAACTAAAATTTTATTGATCGTTGCTTTCCGTTATAATAGGTAGGCTATAATATCAACAGTAATTAACAGAACGTAATCATAGAGAACAATCGACACGATGTATTTGGAACCAATATCCATTCCTCATTTCTCAATCCACCGGATTTTGACCCAATTCGTGTGATCGTTTGACACACCGATGAACGTATTATGACCCAATCTTCGTTAGAGAGCGAGTGACAAATTATTCTGGAATCAAATCTCGCGCGCTAATTAATTGCCTAGAGCCGACGTCACGAGATTGATGTTCCGTGAATCACAATTAAATCACAAGTAACTGTCCGAAAAATAATAATTTACATTAAAATTCCATGTTCCATCTACGTGGAACGAAGCCAAAATAATACATCTCCAAGTTTGCAAGTACACGGAAAACCGACAAGTGTGAAACAAGCACAACGAATGCTGCTCCTTCGTCGCAGCAAATTATTACCCGCATCCAAAGGTTCAAATTAAGTGTAAATTGCAAGTTTGTTTGCGCAGTATGAAATTATTAAATCAAGTAAAGGAAACGGGTGGA